TGCTATTTGTTACTCTCTTTCTCACATGAATAAATAAAACCTTAAAAATAAAACCAGTTGACAAGAATCCCCCTACTTCAGAACCTGCTGGACGATGGGGTGTCAGTCACCAACCACCGACTTACTCAAGAACCTCTCTTCCACAAAGTTGGGCTTAATTCTCATTGTTCCCTTTCCTTGAAGTAACGAAATGGTCCTTTTTTAGAGCTCTAGATGCAGGCTTTTTGGTAACTCAGACAGACTTTGGCCTGACTGGGTCTAAAGGGGTGAGATTTCACTATGAGATCCATTCATGATCTCTAACGGCGCAATGTGTGGTTTTTGGAAGGTGGGATGGGCAACGGCGTACATTCCTCATCTCACGGTACATTTTCCCGGAGGCTCAGTGGGCACATCACAGCACACCTCCCACCTGGGAGTCGAAGCACCACTGACACTGAAAGCCACCCACTCTGACCGTGACTTGTACATCCCAGCACCGTCCCGAGTGGACCCCTCTGGCCCTCTGTGGCCTCTCCCTGAGCTCAGGCCCGTATTGGCACAATTTCCATCGGCTCTGACCTGCCTGTCCCCCATCCCATGCCCAGGCCCCGGTCCTCATGCTCTGTGCGCTTCAGGGCAGGAGGGCACAAGGAGTCTCCTATCTGCTCCATCATTTCCAGCTCAGAGAGACCAAAAAAAAAAAAAAAAAAAAAAAAAAAACAACCCACAGCAACCATGAATGTGGACATGGCAAACGGGTTTCACCTGGACTTCAAGATGAAAGTTATTTGGTCTTCACAAAATGAACAAAATCTGACATTTTGGACCCAAAACTGCTGAAAGCAAGGACACGGAACCTTGCCTTCCCTCCCCCTCACAGTCTGTTCTAGAAGGTGCTGAGATGGGCCCCCCTTGACCCACACCTTCTTCCTCCTCACTCCCACTCTCTCAGCCACAGCTGGGCGCCAGCATCTCCTCAGGCCAATGGACATGCGGCGTCTACCACAGAGTGTGGCCGGGGCCAAGGTTGAGCCTGCTCTCTGCGCTGACCCTCCTTCTGCTCCACACTGTGCCAATGGCTTCCCGAGGGCCCCAGTTGAGGGCACTGCCACTTGGGGTGGGCAGGAGCAGCGGGGGTCGGGGAGATAAGGGAGACACCCCTCCACACACATCCCCATGGCAACCACACACACTGGCTGTCCACAGAACCATGGAGAAGGGCGGGACTTTAACAAACCACATGAATACCCCCCACGCCGCGCCCCATGTTCCTCCCGGGAAGAACACCACAGAGACAATTCAGCAGAGGGAAGAGAGGGTCCAGAGGCACGAAGACGTACAGGCAGGGAAGCGGGCTGCATGTAACCACTGGCAAACCCCACGTGAGCCACGTGCCCCAACCCTGTGGCACGAGGCCACCGATTCCTCTGTAACAGCTCAGATCATCCTTCTGGAGGCCGCGGAGGTGTGGGTGCGTTCACGGCAGGTTTACATCAGAAAGGACGGAACAGCATTGTGATCCCAGCTTGGAGAATTGCATATCCGCTGGGACAAAACCTGGCAGGGAAAACGTCCAGGTAAAAACACCTGTGCAGGGGTGCCTGGGTGACTCAGTCGGTTAAGCAATGGCCTTTGGCTCAGGTCATGATCCCGGAGTACCAGGAGCGAATCCTGCATCGGGCTCCCTGCCTGACCTTCTGCTCTCTCATGCTCTCTCTCACTGTCTCTCTCTCAAATAAATAAATAAAATCTTAAAAACAACAACAACAACAAAAAACACCTGTGCTGGGTCTCTGCCCCTACCCTTCACCCTGTGCTCTGTCCTGTGGCTTCTTGTCGGTGGGGGCAGGGAAACGCAGGTGTCTGTGTCAGGGAGCCCTCCGCAGTGCCCTGGAGAACTCGCACCGTCCACTGAGGCGTGGGTTTGTCTGAGGAGAGGAACCCCTCGCCGTCCTCCCAGGACACAGCGGGTGGGAGGCTGCAGGCAGGCTCCAGATCAGCTTCGTCCATGGGCGCCTGCGGCTCCCCAGGAGCTGTCCCAGGCCAGACAGTCTCTCATCAGCCTCCCCCCAGCACAGCCCTGCACCTCGCGGTGCTGGCGGTTGGCATCCCATGACTCCCACCCCCACCGGAGTCTTCTGGACCCTTTTGTTTCAGTGTCCTCCTTCTCAATGTGTGGGACAGGGACCCAGGGGAGCTGGGTGCCCCTCTGGGGTGTCCTCGACAAGACCCCAACACTCTGTTTTCATAAAGCATCAGTAACAGCCGGGGAGTGGGTACATATGTACAGAAATCTATTTCCATGGCGGGCGGCGGGGTAAGCTAGATCATTTTCCTAACGAAACAGGAAAGGAGAAAACACACACACCTATATGCTCACTAACAGACACACTCACGGACCAGCAAAACGGAGCTGTGCAAAGCTAATTAGATCCAGAGCCTTGGATTCTGGTACCAGCCCCATCGCGAGGTCTTCGATCTTAAGAAATTCTCTTCTCCTCTCCGGGCCCCCACTTTTTTTTTCCTTCTGCCAACAAAGGAGGGAACAGGCCCAGCCCTAGCCGTGCCGTCTGCACGGCGCCAATGTTCACAGAGACACACTTGAGGACCTGCCGGGCCAGGATGTGGAGGGCCCAGGGGCCTCCTTCTGCTGAAGGGAGTTACAGGGCAGCAAGAAGCCAATGGAACAAAGGTAAATTACTTCTAGTGCCCAACAGAAGCTGCTCAGACACCTGCCGGCGTCTCCAAGTGCTCCCCACAAGTGCAGAGGAAGGTATGTGCTTACCAAGACAGGAGCGCTGCAGGGCCCTTGGGGAACAGGAATGTGCAGCATTGCCCATGGGATGGAGTCTCTGTCCTCATTCCTACAGCAGCTCTGTTCTAGGGCCCAGCCTGCTGGCACAAGGTCCCAGAGAGTGTGGTTCACACTACGTGACAGCACTGGGGCATGCCGAGCTCAAGACAAAGCCATTTCTTCTGCTAGGAGAACAGGGAAGGCTTCTTGGAAGAGGCAGCCTTTGAGCTGGGCCCTAATGACTGGACAGAACTTAAACGTATGAAGTGAGTAGGGAGAGCAGATCCTGCGGGACAGTGTGATCGGAGATACAGAGGCAGAAGAGAGAGTTCAGTCTGTGACAAATTATAGGAAGCATTACGACAGAAACCAGAACACAAGGGCCTTAGATGCTAGACCCAGAAAAATCCCCAAAGAGCCGTGTTTTCCTTAAGTGTCTGTGTTGGTCATCATTTGAAGAAAAATTCAACCCATTATAAATGCAGGTTAGTCCTATCCCGACAGACTCAGCAGTGCCCACCCCCGACCAGCCCCGAAAAACTTTCTTAGTTCAACTGGCAATTGTTTGAGATGAAAACCAGCTTCTACTTAATATTTTCTTTTCCCCTGGAAAACAGCAAATATTGAGAAACAGTTACAGGAGCCAAAATGGAAAGATCATTTTCTAGGAAGAGGAAGGATCGTGACTCTTGTACAGTTAAGACTCAGACAACACGGTCAAAGATTTAATGTCACTTATCATTTAATGTCACCCTATAAGACGGGAAGCAGTTAAGATGATACAACTGGGACAGCGCAAAGAACCACAGCTCTATGGCCATCAGAAGCAGGCTCCCCAGGGCCAGGGTCAGCAGCCTCTCCAGCAGGCACGGTATGCACCGTTAGGGACAAGCATTGTGTGTGCACTACTATCAGGATGCCATAACCTACACAGACAGCGTGGCTCAAAGACAAGGCAAGAAGCCCGGGACCCGGAGAAACCGACCCTCAGGGAACCCCAACATATCCACTGAGGACACCGAGCTGCCTTTTGACCCATTTCAAAGGCTTTCACAATTTTCCCCACAGAGGTGAATCCTAATTGGTACACAAACCATCAACTCTCAGGCACGAGTTTTATGGGCAGTTGCAGTGAGGACTGGAGGAGGTTCCAAACCCTGGCACAGGCCTAGCCAGCACCGCTGGGCAGGAAAGGAGGCAGCTCCGTGCCCACCTCGTTACCTTTGCCCTCGGAATCAGGAGACTCCCAACTGTGGCCCAAAACAGCTGAGAGCAGATTTCTCCCCCTCTCCTTTCTCCAGAGGCGTCTACACTGAAGAGCCTGGCACTGCTCCGGGTGCTTAGACCACACCCTGGCCTAGAAATTCCACTCCTAGAGCTTCCGGTTCTGCTGGTCGGGGTGGGACTGGGGCATCACTGGCTGTTATAATGTCCAGGGGGGATTCTAATGAACACCCAGGACAGAGAACGATTTCCTTTGAATGGATAGCCGCGAGCCTCCCTCTAGAACTGGAGAAATCAGCGGGACATTCTTAAAAAAAAAAAAGCTCCTCAAAATTAATCTTTGCTAGAGACCCTAAGACAGGCTCAACTCCTGAGTCTGTCAGAATCTTCCGGGGGCTGCCATCAACTCAACGAGCAGTTTGCGGGGCTGGGCACAGGCCCGGTCTCGTAACTGTCTGCTTTAGTCACTGTGTGTGTGCGGGGTAGAGATGCCCGCAGGTGTGTGTGCTCACAGGCCCGGACACCCCTACGGTGGACACACGCGGGCATTCACGCACACACTCGCACCTCACACGCACGGAGCGGCCTCCAGATCAGAGTGGGGTCACAGAGTGATAACAGGACCTGCCTCCCAGGGGAGTAACCGACGTGGGGTTGGCTGGTCCCACGGTGGGGGAGGTAACTGACAACAGGGCAGACGGTGGGGAATCCCAACGCTTTCCCCGCTTGAGACCTCTGATAATCATTACAAACGTTCTTACAGCTTGCTTTGAACCCACTCAACTCATTACCAAGGTCGGCCCCAAGCAATCGCTGGCACTCGGGGCCCATCCCCTTCCTCGGACGGGCCCTAGTCTGCGGCTCTAAAGGATACCAGCCTGCCCGGCCATGGGACTGTGGAAGGCCCGGGACAAGAGTCTCCAGAAAGGATGCTCGTCCCTGTCCTCCCTTTCCCGGGCCCCATGCTCCCTGTCCCCCCACCAACCCCCCCCACACTTACTGCAGGCTGCGCAGGTGAAACACGCGTCGTGGTAGAGGTTCCCCATGGCCTGGCAGGCCTGGCCGGCCCCGAACACGCCTTTGCTGCACTTCACGCAGGCTCCTGAAAGGCAAGAATGTGCCGGTGAGTCGGGGGGGGAGAGAGTGTAAACCAAGTCATTAAAAAAGCCAATGAACAAAGTGAGATGCCTCTCCCCGCCCCGTAACCAGCCTATCACTGAACCTTGCAGATCACTCCTTTGAGATCGATCTCTCTCTCTCCTTCTCTCTCTCCATCAGCTTTTCACCTGCAGGAAAGAGCTTCAGGCTCCGCTCCCTACCCTCTGCTGTCCTCTACGCCAGCATGATAGAAAGTCTCTGCCCCGTCACCCTACTTCCCAGCCCAAAGCCTTTCAAAGACTCCCACTGTTCATCAGATGATGTCCAACCCATCATACCATGATCCTAATATGCCAAGCACGCAGACCAGGCGATTTCAACAACATTGTTTCCTTCAGTTCTCCTTGGGAACCAATGGGGCTGACTATCCTGATACAAAAGTATCAGGCCCCCAGCCCCAGGTCTGTCAGAACACAAAGCCAATGCTCTTCCCTGCCCCTCACCTCCAAACAAGCCCCCCTGGGCTCCTGAGCTTAGCCTTTGCTCACAGTCTCCCTGGCCAGGTGCCCTATACCCACCTGTTGTCCCTTCAAGACCCCAGGCCCCCCTACTGTGCTGCCCTCCAGCTCTGAAGACAACACGATGAGACAGGCTCTAACCTTCAGCCTCCCATCCAACTCACTTCCCACGTGGCAGGAGTTAACCTGGTACCTTCTCTGCGCATCAGCTCTCAATTTGGAAAAAGAGGTCCATTCCACGGCCCTGCATGTTCCCAGGAGCGGCCACCAAGGGCGCTCTGCAAACTACCAGCTTCCAGAACGGGTTGCCCCCGCCCCAAACGGCAAAGCAGAGGTCTGGCTCTTGGACTCGAACGCAACAGTCCGCTGGCTACGTGACTGAGGCAGAGGGAGAAACATCACAATGACAGAAACAGTGCGTGAGATTTAAAAAAAAAAAAAAAAAAATTCGGGGAATAAATATACCAAAATATAAAGAGTGGTTTCTTGAGGTTCTAAAATTATGGTTGGTTTTACTTCTTTGAATGCTCTCTATTAAAAACAAAAAAAAGTTCTTGGAAGAGCAGGCGTGACTTTATAGCTGACAAAAGTCTAGTGTCAAAAAAGCATCTGAATTTGTTTCAATGTATTGTCTAACATTAAGATTTTTGAACACACACACATACGCGCACACCCAGGGTCCTCCGGCCAACCAGCTTGAGTTCTTGGTCAGCGGGAGCTCGGGCACCCTCTTTGAAATCTGGGTCAGGATGGTCTCCGGCTGCGAATCCCCAGGCTTCTGCCTACAGGGTAGGAAGCCCCATGTTTCAGAGTTCTATCGATTCAAGGTCACGGACTGTGTCTCCCTCAAGGAGGTCCAAGCTAACACCCATTTCGTGCAATGCACCCACAGCGACCACACCAGCCTCGCAGAGGGCACACCAAGCCAAGAACCTTCTGATCGCTTCATCAATGCTCCCAGGGCAAGCGAGTAAGGGTGCCTGCAGGAGGAGTGTGGTGTCAGCCTGGAAACCTAGCTGTCTCGGTAATTCGTTTATGGAAAGTTCTAGAGGGCACAAGCAGTAGTTCCTGTCAGTTCTTCTGTTTCGGCATTTTATTATGAGATGTTCAAACAAGCAGAGAGGTCTGTCAGAACGCAGAGGAGGAGAGGAGAAACAGCCATACGCACCCTCCCCCCCACCCATTCTACAATTGTGAACAATCCACTATCAATCAATCCAACAACCCCTCTTAGTTTTGATGCATTTTTTTAAAAAATATTTTATTTATTTATTTGTCAGAGAGAGAGAGCACACAAGTGGGCAGAGTGGCAGGCAGAGGCGGGGAGAGAAGCAGGCTCTCTGCTGAGCAAGGAGCCCGATGTGGGACTTGATCCCAGGACCCTGAGAACATCATTACCTGAGCCAAAGGCAGAGGCTTAACCGACTGAGCCACCCAGGTGTCCCACTTTTGATGCATTATTTTAAAAGCAAGGTGAAGGCAGCGGTCCACCTCATCCCTAAGCACGTCAGCCTGTAAATCATTAAGAGTTTATTATTCGCTTACAATTATTCTTTTATTTTTTAAAGATTTTATTTATTTGAGAGGGACAGAGATAATGAGACAGAGCATGAGTGGGCAGGAGAGGGAGAAGCAGGCTTCCCTCTGAGGAGGGAGCCTGACACAAGGCTCGATCCCAGGACCGAGATCATGACCTGAGCCGGAGGCAGATGCTTAACTGACTGAGCCATCCAGGCTCCTCTACTATTATTTTTTCACGATAAAATCCATGAACAGTGAAACCCACAAACGATGTCTACCATCCGATGGGTTTGGACAGATGACCTAGGTAATGCAAAGACAGAGCAAGACAGAATATTTCCAGCACCCTAGCAAATTCCCCAGTGCCCTCGCCTTCCGTTTTCAACACATGTGATAATGAAGGAAAATACTGTCTCCAAAAACATCCACTCTCAGGCCCTGACAAGCTACTTACTCACTAGACCATCCTGAGATCCACTTCCAAAAACACCCATCCCAAGCCCCCTGACTGGCCTGACTCCAGATCCCCACAACAGCCAACAAAGCTTTCTTTGGGCAGTAACGGAAGTACAAAGGAGACCATCCCCAGACTAGACAGGATGTCAAAGCAAGAGAATTCTAACTCTGCCCGGGAACAGGCAATGAAACCACCCCCGAGGCAATTATCACCTCTTCCCTGTAGATCACGGTGGCCTCTTGGCTTAACCCACTGTAGCGATGTGAGCAGCAGAGAGCAGAAGGGCCGGGAGACCCCGCGGAGTGGGAGGCAGCCCTTCCACCTGTCCACGGGGAAGGTGTGGGAAGAGAGCCAGCCTTCTGGACGGGGCCCCAAAGAGGAAAGGCCCGATGCATCTCTGAGTCCGTGGGATGCTGCTGACACACCATGAGGACGTGGACTCCTGTTGGGTGGGTCTGGGGAGTCAAGTCAGACCCCTCTCCCGTTCCCACTTGGAAAGCGAGTGGCAGGATGACAGCATCACCAAGGGGACAAGGACAAGTGCACAGGCCTCTCGGGGTTTCCTGTGTCTTTATCTCTGTGCCACAGGCCTTCCTCCCCACCCCCCAACCCCCGAGGCTTCTCCTCTGGTTTCCTCTCCACCTGAGGGGCTCTGACCTACTGACTTCTGCCTCTCCCTACCCCGACTCTGACTCCTGCAGCCCACGTCCTCCAGGCTGCTGACCCCCTTTCCCGCCTCTCCGACCGTCCAGCACGGGCACAAAGCGAGGAAGGAAGCCGCTGGTGCTCTCAGCCATCGGTCACACAGCGAGGAAGAGCCCGTGAGAAGCCAAGTAGGTGGGAAGGTATTTCATCCCTGGGCCTTGTGGTACATGCACAGGAAGGTACTAAACAGGCAGGAAATAGGTCTAGTCTTCCTTTGGTTGGAAAAAATGAAAAAAAAGAAAAAAAGGCAATGTCATATTCTAGGGAATAACGTACCTACCCAACCTCATGATGGGAGTTTGCATCCAGGGAAGGACTTGTTGGATAAACGCGTTTTATTCACAATCTAGAAGGCCCTGTAACTTGCCGATGGGCACACGGCCAGTAGGTCTTGGAGACGGAATTCGAGCCCAGGTTCCAACCTAAAGGTCCTGTTCTCCCTATCAGGTTGGCAGCTGTGGTGATTCCCACCACACTCTGGGGGTGTCCTCCCTCACATTCAATACACCCCCTGCTTGGGTATTTGAACCTAAGCCCAGCCCTGCCCCAGAGCACCCACCAACCACCCCGGCCCACCTCCCCTTCTGCCCTGTCCCCGGCACATGGGCTGTCTTCCCACCTGGGACCCCAACCACGGGGCTTTCCCCCACACAGACCCTCACTCGGCCCCTTCTGCCCTCCCGGAGGGACACCCACTCCACAAAGGCTTCTCTGCCACTCGCTTGGAACCAGGCTCCCTCTAGATTGCTGGGGGACGGTGAGCGATGTGACTGCCCTCGGGGAACGGTCACCCAAGGATGCGGGAAACTAGAATCTGCCCCCTGTGATAGGAGCGCTGACCCGTGTCACCGGCGGACCTGCCCTGTGAGTTCGCCAAGTGCCCAGGGCTCGTGACATAAGAAATATATCCACTGGTCTCTGTCCCCAGTTCCTTCTAGTACTTGGTCTTTGACCGCAGTTCCCGACACAGAGCTCCTAAATCCCTTGGAATTTCCTGGTGATGGGAGCGTCTCAGATGGGGGCTGGTCGCTGGGAAGACCAAGCCATGATTGGTCTTGGAACTTTCTCCCCCACCCCCATCCTTCCCAGAGGGGAGAAGGGCTGGAAAGCAAGTTAATGGTCCCTCATGTCTACATGAAGCTGCCAGAAAAATCCCCAAAGCATGGGGTTTGGACAGCTTCTGGGATGGCCCACACATCCACGTGCCGGGAGAGTGCCCATTCCCACACTGCACAGAGCAGAAGCTCCCACGCTCGGGACCCTCCCAGACCTCACCCTATGCACCCCTGCTTCCTGCTGTTCTTCTGTATCCTTTAGCACACGCCTTATTATAAAATAATGATTTTATATTTCCCTGTTTCCCTGAGTTCCGTGAGCTGTCCTACTGATGGTCGAGCTCAGGGAGGAAACCAAGGGGATTTGTGATGGCAGCTGACACGATGGCAGTTTTGTGGGACTGAGCCCTGGTCTGCGAGGGCTGTGCCACCCACGGGTCAAGAGTGTCGGAACTGAACGGGGTCTTGGGACAGCCCGCTGGTGGCGGTAGGAAAGCCTGCACATCCGGTGTCGGGGCACCACAAGTGTGAGTAGTAGCAGGTCCGGGGAAGAGAAGACGGAGTCCTCGCAAGGCAGGGCTCGGCAAGAAGGCTACTCGACCCCTTTGCTTTCATGTGGCCCCTTAGCTGTAGGATTTTAGAGAAATGTCCAACAGTGGAAAAGAAGAAAGATGTCATCCATGTTACTCTCATCATCTGAGCTCATAAACCAGGAAGAAAGTAAGGGGAAGAAGGACTTACATGTTTA